TTGCTGCTGCTGCTGCTGTTGCTATACTCGTGCCCGTACCCGTCACACTGTTACCTATTTCGGCATTAATAATCTCTATAATTCGACTAAATGTGGGTCGAGCGCGTGGTATGGCATTCCAGCAGGCCAGCATCAGTTCGTTGTACACAAAATCCGTACAGCCCGGAGACTGTGGTAGTCTGTAGAAATACCAAATAAATGCATTAAGATGCAGATGATAAGACCACAGGAAATTCAAATTCAAAGAAATCTATTAAACTATCACTCACCTTTCGCCCTTGTTTAAACGATTGAGGAAATCTTCTTGGTTTAATTGCGGCGGCACTAGATTAGGCGCTTCGCCACGTGTGAACATCTCATAGAGCGTAACGCCATAGCTCCACACATCCGAATACGATGAGAATTTACAGGTAGAAGTGGCCTCCGGGGAATACCTATTAATACATGCGGATAGTTAGCGATAGTTAACGATAGTTGTTTGCTTTTTCAACTCACCATTTAATGGGTATATCCCGATTGCTTTTGGCATAGTAGTAGCCCTCAGAGTTGGCAAATTGCGCCAGACCAAAATCCGATATTTTCACACAATCCAAGTCAATGTGACTCTTGCGATCCACCAGTATGTTGCGTGCAGCCAAATCCCGATGTATCAGACCCTTGCCAGACAAGTAATTCATGCCCTGAATATCAAAGAATTGTTGAATATTGTTTCTGCAATAATTGTGAAAGGAGAATTCTGCTGAGAACCCTACTCACATGTGCAATCTCAACGGCAAAGCGTAGCAATCGATTTGTGGTCAAATCTGGTGCCTTGTAGCGTAGATAGACATCAAAGGAGCCATCCAAATACTCCATTATAATGCTGTGTGTATTCTTGTCCCAATATTTAAACTTAACAACATTCGGATGCTCCAGATTGCGCATGATAACAATTTCACGCTGAAAGTCCTGCGTCACCTGCATGGTGTTTAGCTTCTTGATGGCCACATTCTCGGACGGGCGCTCCCGATTGTCGTAGTCGATGGTGCCCCGATAGACAATGCCATAGTGGCCCTTGCCAATAATATTCTGTGGACTATAGATCACACGGCAATCATCCAGCTGCAGCACCTGTGGCATATTCTTCACATCCAAAACATGCACACAATCCTGATTGTAATTTGGCATTTCTGTTCCATCTACAAAGAAGCAGAGAAGCAACGAGATTCGATTGTTTTCTGTTCAATTTCCATTGCCCCAGTGGGCAGTGCAGGCAGTACTCACTTGGTATGGGTTCGGCAACCACCGTATAGTTGGGCTGTATATCCGATTTAATGGCAATCAGACGCGAGAAGATATCGTGATGACTGAATCGCTTCTCCGCATTATCGCTCCAGCCATCCATAATGGTATCGTACATCAGCGGCGGACACAGCTCTGGATCGATGGGTGGCAAAATGTTACTATCCTGCCGGCGATTGCTCAGCAGCTCCTCCTGCCGCACCGTTCGCAAATCCCGCTGGCAGCGTGAAAATATCTCATAGATGGTCGTAGCAAAGGCCCACAATTGTGTGCCCAGATCCTGTTTAGCCGCCTCCAGATTCTTGTAGTATTTGACGGGTATCCAAGGCGAACTGCAGCCAAAAACAAAAAGGTGAGCAAAAGTGGGTTTAATATGATGCACTGCATGACAGTGTTTGTATGGTTACAGTTCGTTGTAGCAAAAAGTGTAAGCAAGGAGCAGCAAGCGAATAACGAAAAGTGGACCCAAGCTAATATTTTGTACTAAAAATAACAAAACAAAACTGATTTAGCCGTCAAATAGATGCATCTCTAAATTGTTGATATTGCTGGTGCAAATTCGCAGAACCTGAACCAACTGCAGCTACTGGGGAAGCAAGCTGTGGGAGGTTCCCTCTATCTTTTGTAGTTAAATATTTGTCACTTTCGATTGTTAAACTTTTGTTTTTGTCTGCATTTTGCGTGGATTCTTTTCGTTGATTATTTTCAATCAAATCAGGCTACATGGAAAGTACTTAAATAATATCAAAAAAATCCTTGATAAAGGATCCAAACGAAGTAGAAGGAAACGTTCTCACCGCCGACGTGTGCGCCCTCATGCTTAGCATATTCCAATAGTTCTTCGCCTTGTCATGTGCAGGGGCAGGGTATTGATAAAGCAATTCGGAACACTTCAAAGTACATTTACAAGATATCTTTTTCTTTTGTTTCTGCTGCTTGCTATCTGATCTGCTGGAAAAATTCCACTTGCTGTGGGTCTACACAGCTCTTCGTTTCTTTGCTGGCTGCGACTTGTGATATATATTTTGTTTTTTTGTGTTGCAGCAATTCAAATTTAATTGTAGCTGACAGAATGGGCAAACGATTTTAAGTTTTTTTTGTCGATTTACGTGACTCACTCAGATTTGTTGTATGGTCGCGGATAGCCGGGATCACTGATCTTGGCATCGAGCATGGACATTTCTGGATCAAATTTGGTCACATACAAATTACTGCAGCGTATGTAGCTGTGTATTATTTTGTTGTCCTCCAGATAGTGTATGCCCCGCACCAGGCCGTGCATCAGATCGAGCAGACAGTGAAGCGACACCGCATCGCGCCTCTCCAGCAGGAACTTGTTGAGTGGCCCATACCGGGAGTACTCCATCACCATGGTGTATGGATCGGAGAGCGTAAGGCCGTATAGCTTGATGAACTGCGGCGACTGGATGAGGCTCCAGGTTTGGGCGAGCTTAAAAAATTCCATAAAGTTGCCATCGTTCTTCAGCATCTTCATCGACACGGACACATCCTTCACCAGACTCTGTTGTATCCAGTCGCCGCGCATCGTAAACATCATGCCATCCTCGCTGAGTGTTATCGAGTCTGCCAAAGAAATTAACACCAGTTTTAGTTTGCTTTTATCCCAAGCAGTGCAGGTCGCCACCTCACCTGGATACCATTGCAGATCCGTTTTGGGATTGAATATCTGCGGATTGCGTCGCTGCAGCTCCGCCTCGCTCAGCTCCATGTCAGTCTTTTTGGCTTTCAGATTTTTTGGCAAACACAACAGCAACAGCGGCGGCTTGTCGTACTTGGATGCGGGCACACGCAGGCGGTCCGGACTGTTGGCCGGTATGAACTGCGCCAGCTCCAGCAGATCGAGAAACGTGTGCTGTCCCTCATTGTAGTAGAGCACCCACTGTCCCTCCTTGCGCAGGATCTTTAATGTTTCCGTTTTGCAGCGTTCATGATCGGTGTTGCGACCAGTACTAAAAAAAATAAGTGATTCATTTTGGGATTAGTTTGTGTTTCATGATTTATAATAAAGAAGGGCATTTCATGCCATGTTTATACAACTTTTAATAATTATTGATGACCTTTGCCTATCAGTGGATTGAGGTCAAAGGGGCGCAGAATTTAAAGAAGTTTTCTAATCAAGAAACAAATCTGGACACAAGATTCTATGCGTTGGTGTCGTTAAGCTAAGCTTCAACCCATGCTCTGTTTATTTTGAATTTTCTGTAGAATTGGCAAGTCTCTGATAACTCAAAATTCAATACATATTTCGGCAGAAAGTGCACTGATTTAAAGTGAGATGAAACCCCCCGGCCGATATAAATAAATAAATATTTGTGGCTTTCCCCCCCGAAATCAATTTGAAAGCATTCAACAACATTTTTCCTTTGAGCTGTTCGGAAAGTGCGTGAGGAAAAATGAGTGTGGCTCCAAAGTGAGCAGCAAACACCGCACAGAGTTTCAAAGAAAAGTTTGCGCGCGCGAGATGAGTGCAGATAAAGCTGGTATCTGGGGCTCAGGGCGTGTGTAAATAGCAAATAGATCAAATGCATGCACATACATTCTCGTATTGATGTCAATGTAGTAGGTGTTGTACTCCCGATCACATTGGCGGACAATGTAGCTGCCGCACTTGTCGCCATTCTCGTGCAGCTTCATCAGCGAATAATTGCCACCGATGGGGCCATGGCAACAGAGATTTCCCAGCTCCTCCAGCGATGGTGTGCGATACGAATGGCACAGATCCTGCATCCATTTGACAGTTAATCTGTGGAGTAAAGTTTAAGATTACAATTCGTTTGCCATAATGGATGGATGGGAACTCACCTGATGTATATGCCCAGATAGGAGATGAACGATTTCATTTCCTTTTCGGTATGAAAATGCATCACATAACCCTTGGGCAGGCCCACAATCTCCAGACGCACATCGGTATCATTGATTTTTGAGATCATAAATATACCTTCAACGCCGCCCACCAGAATCCACTGCAAACACAAAAAAAAAACAGAAAAAATAAAACAAATGGGTGAGTGGTTTCGTTTTTTTATTATTATTATAACTTCCTCTTCGCTTTTCTCGCCGTAATGATAAGAAGGCTCTCTGGTGTGTGGCTTTTATTTATATTTGTATTTCCCTTTATATGCACCGCCAAAGGAGAGAGAAAGAGAGAGCGAGAAATAGAGATTACCCTGATTGCAGTGTGTGGCCTGCCCTGCCCTGCCCTGCAAAAAGGGCTTTCCGGTTTACAAGTAGAGGAAAGTACACGCAAAATCCTGGTGGTCTGCCAGCCATATAGTATAAATAGACTGCTATCCACTATGCTGCTCCAATTAAGAATGGAAACCCGGCAAAAAACTCTCGAACAACTCAGACGAAACTCTTTTGCCTGCTGCTATCTATATTTTCTGTTTTTATCTTTCATCTCTCAACTTGAACTACAATTAAAAACAACAAAATGCATGTCGTGTGCATGACAAAACAAATGAATTGGCTTACTTCTACTTTCTTTGACTTTAGGCATGCCACAGCCTTTCATCCCAAGCAGATCCCCTTCGGAGTATTCAATTTCACCCACAAAATATCTCCAGTAATCACAGAACTATTTTTGTCTTCAAAATTTGCTACATTTTGTTGTCCCAATCCATCAAAAGTATTATTGTTCTGAGGCAGGGGCACGTTTTAGCATGCAAATAGTATCGAAATCCATTTCAAATAGTCAGCCCCACCAAATGCTAATTGAAGCACGAACGATAAGAGCCTATGGGGGGGGTGGGGATGGAGTGGATCGGGCGCGGGTAAGGAAGATATGTTTATATGTACGTTTGTCTGGTATGTACCTTGAGCGTGGCCTCTGATGTAACGCGCGCCACCTTCAGTCCCGGCTCGGGTGAGTCGTGTGGCCACAATCTCACATAGACATCAATGACGGAGCTTTGGGCGCTGCGCGATTTGCTGCGCTTCCCACTGCTCCTGGCCGTGTGGCTGTTGTTGTTGGTGGTCAGGGTGGAGAGCGTATTGGTGCTGGAACTGGAGCCGGTTGTCAGTGTGGTGGTGGATGTGCAGGTGGAGCTGGCCATGCTGGCGCCGCTGTGGCTGCCGCCGGCAACCAGGCCGCCCATGCCGCTGGGCGGATCCTCGTTGGGCAGGTGATCGACGACGGCAGTGAACTGCTCGGTCATGTAGGTGGGGGCCAGGTGGCAGATCTGATGGATGTAGTGCCACTTCAGCTGGGCCGCAGTATTGTTGGAGTTCTCGCTGAGCTTGCGGAAGTACTCGCAGATCTTGGGGCCCACGAAGAAGAAGTGCGCGTTCCACACACTCTTGGGCAGATACTGCCGGCACGAGCTCTCGATGGTGCGGGCTGACAGCTGCTGCTCCTTGAGGTCGATCAGCATGTCCATGACGGCCAGGCCGGTCACCTTCTCCTTGTGCTCCGGATATCGAATCTCGGCGATGTGCTCGTGCAGATTGTCGAAGCGCATCTGCCAGTAGAGATACTCGTGGCTGTGCACATCTATCCGGTCCAGCTGGCTGTCCAGCTCGGGTACGCGGAAGCGCATGCGAAAGCAGTAGCGGATATGACAGCTCAGCCTCTCGCCCGGCAGCACCCAGCTGTGCCCGTAGCTGAGGAGTTGGGCACGCGAAGAGCGGCGTGTGCCCAGATGCTCGCGTATGCCGAAGAGCAGCTGGGCCGTGGGCAGGATCTCCAGTTGGCGGCACATGGCCGTGCAGATCTCCTCGCAGAGCATGACCGGCGAGAAGCGATCGAACTCCTTGCTCTTGTAGTTGTAGACGTGAATGAGGCCATCGTCCTGATGGATGCTCTGGCTGGAGGTGCCGCTGTGCAGCGAGTTGTTCGTCAAACTGGCGCTGTCCCCCAGCGATGTACGCCCACTGCTGCTGTCATCCATGGTCGTCCCCTACAGTCCCTGACCCTGGCCCTAGCCCTGGTCACCGTCGCTGGCCCACTGTGCACTATACGGCATCCAAAATGGGAACCGTCGTCGTCGTCCCCCCCGATTGCCCTGTTGCCCGCCTTTACGCGCAGCGTCAGCAGTTGGTATACGCGCGCGGTGGCCCCCAGAACACAAACTGGGCCAAATAGAACTTCACTTTAACTTTCAACCAACAGAGCTACAACAGAAAACAAAAGCCGAAACCAAAACCGAAGCCGAAACCGAAAGAGCAACAGCTAAAAGCAACAAATTCAAAAAAAAAATATGTACGTTCGTTTCGATTTGATGCGTGGATGCCGTTCCTTTATTTACTTTGCCCGATTACAGCGTTTTATTATTTTTATTGCATCGCCTATGCGCGCGCAAGAGTCAGAGGCAGTGGAGGAGGCGTCATCATTCCGCTAGCCACAACGCACACAACACGGCATAAAAAAAAAAACACGAACGAAAGCACCAAGTCACGACAAATATTATTTACTTTTTTTATGCTTTATGTTCAGTGTGACCGCGGAGTTGTCGATACAATACACCCTCAAAGATATACCTTCTCATTTTTAGAGTATACCGTAAGTTATACATTCTTACATTTCATGCTAATTGACTATTTATTTACAGTTTTAGTTTGAACCTTAGTTTGTAAACAATTCAACAAAACGAGTTATGAAAATCAGCTTATCTTTAGGGGTATTGACCAATCAATTGGATAAATGTATAGTTTTATTGCTAAAGCGCACACCTAGCTGGTAATAATAAAAAGAATATCAAAATCAAGGAAAATGATTTAGGATTCGGTATTTTAATTCAATATTTTGAAAATGATTTCAGTATATTTCTGAGGGTCAGGCGGTATATGTCACACTGAACTGCCATACGACGACTTTATATAACCTAAAATTAAATTTTGTGACTGAACTCTGCATTTTGTTAACTGAAAACTAAACGTGAAGCGTCCACAAGAACCAAGCCAGGATGTCAGATTTCGAGAGCGACTTGCCCAGCACCGACAGAGAGCTGCAGGAGTTCATGATGATAGAGCAACAGAAGGCAAAGGTCCATGAACAGGTAATGTTGCCTGCCACCCTGTGCATGAGCGCCCCAATCTAATCAAACATCTAATGCCACTTGCGGCAATGGCCATACAATCCCACAGATACACGAGTTCAACGAAGTCTGCTGGGAGAAGTGCATTGGAAAGCCCAGCAACAAGCTGGACAGCGCCACAGAGACATGCCTGACCAACTGCGTGGACCGCTTCATTGACACATCGATCCTGATCACGCAACGCTTCGCACAGATTCTGCAGAAGCGTAACTAGAAGGACATGTGAGGCCGGCAAGGGCGAAGCTTCCATGTTGGAAGCCGCCAGTCGACCCAAAGGACAGGACGCTCCTTCCCTTCCCTCTGTCCTGCGGCTGCCTGCACCCAATGTCCTACTGTTAAAACTATTTTTAAACAATTACCATGTAAGAACCTTTTTTTTGACGTGTCTTCGATCGGACGCTCGGTCCCGTCTACACACCACACACACAAGTGGCCAAGCCACTCAATGGCCCAAGACTACCGCCCGGCGCTAGATTTACCCCTGCTGCCAGCCGCGGGGCCATGTCTGTTGGCCATTGGGTGGACGACGACGACACGACCTTCAAAAGCCACCAGTACAACTTCAGTGTGTTCTATATATGTAGCGCCGTGTATATAATAATAATATATACATAAATATATGCTTCTGTTGTTGGCTTGAAGCTATTTGAAACGAAACCAAAATGTGTGCAGCCTTTTAGCATGGGTTGCGGAACGGTATGTTAGATCCATTTAGAGGCTTTCCTTATTCTAAAGTACTAAAGTTATAAATTTAGTGAATGAATGTATAAATAAAACGTAATCAACCAAACTAATTTCGAATCTACCGGCATTAAATAGAAGACGCTGCCAACATGCTGGCCATATAAACATGAGTCTGGAGTTCAGCAACATATTGGAAGTGATCATCGATATTTTATTGCCGATATGTGCCGGTATGTGTGACACAAAAGATAGTTTCTGGATTTTCTTAAAATTCGGAGAAGTAAAGTCGTTCCGACCATGATATATGTACATATATAACAACATGTCACCTGTCCTTGCAATATTTATGTTTATATTTGCCGCTTAGCTACATGTATGAATTTAATGCTAAACAGCTGACAATGAGGTTTTTAAATTGTTTTCGATGTTTTTTAGATGAAACAAACATCGCCTACAAATTTATTTGCTGCAACAATCATATATCGATTTATAAGCGGCCAATTTAGCTATTTTCCCACTAAATGTAGCGTTTTTCAAGATATTTTGGCGTTAGTTTACCCTTTTGCCAATACCTAAAGTATTTATTTTCTTAACGATGCCAAACTAAGGTGGTATTGTTTCCATTTGAACGGCAAAAATGGATCGATAATTACAAAAACTGACTTAGATTTTCTCCGGAATCGATTCTTATACCATTATTGACAAAATAAATCAGAATGTGTGATTCTAATATCCGAAAAATTTTGTGTATTGCCCATCAAGTTTATTAAAAACTGAGAGTAACAGAGCTATTCGTAGTGCTATAACGCTTCATACGCTTGTTCATATTAATGTCAGATGATGACTGAAGGTCAAATTACAGATTAATAAATTTAATAAAAATAATGTTTCAATACTCTGGCGTTTTTTTTAGCTGTCGTCAAAATTGTCTTCCCATTTCTAGCTATTTTTGAAAAGTAGTTTAGCTTTTTTATGACCCGAAGAGTTGACAACACTGCCCAGTAGTAAGTGTTGACAAAAACAGAAGCAATGTTGGAATTTTCGTGAATTGAGAAAAAACGGTTGATATATCCCAATAAGTAACGATTTTGATATTATCGCCAAAAAAATATCCCGTGCAATCGTACAATATCAATATTATTCGATAACATCCCTGCCCGAAGGCTCGGCGCTGTGCCAAGCGCATGTCCTTTTTCCAGTGAGTGTCTCTGCAAAAAATAAAAGTAGTGCCCCCGTGTAGCAGTGCCAAAGCGCTCTCGTGTCCTGTAACCGAATGCTGGGCGCAGGGAAACACGGGAAATCAGTAAAATTCAAAAGGTCGGTCTCCCCCGCCTGGGTACACGCGCTCCACCGTTTCGAGTCGTCCGCCCAGGATATGTTGAGAGAGACACACACAGACAGGCAGTACCGTTTTTAGAGTTCAGTACGTGGTTTTTTTGATGGTTTTTTTTTTAATATATGTAATGCATATACTGTGCGTGTTTGTGTGTATGCAATGTCCATGTGGGTAGTTGTAATTGTAAGGGATGTTGTTACTGTGCGGCAGCGCAAATATATTCTCGTATATAAAAAAATAACCAGGAAAATCAAATAATTACATGCACATGTATTTTTCTGCGATTGTGTGTGTGTGTGTGTCTCAAGAGAGAAGGTGACAGTAACACTGCACTGCACATCGGCCGCCGCCAGCAATTTAACGGCAAAACCAGCGCAGTGCTCGTGTTCATATGTATATGTGTGTGCTTTTTTTGCACGTGTATGAATGTGATTAATGCGGAATTTAGTATTTAAACTGCAATTTCACGCACACATCGGCATTCATGTTGTGCTGCTTCTGCTGCTGCATCAGTGTCAGTGGAGCGTGTATAATTCATACGGTCGGCAGCATCAGCAGCGGTGAATGTGCGAACGATGTTTCTTTTTTTTGTGTGGGTGAGAAGAGATCAATGATTGAGTGTATATGTGTGTGGGTGAGAGAATCAGACAGATCATTTATTAGTGTGCGTGTCGGAGCAGAGCAGAGAGCATAACCAAATTTTTGTATTAATAATTTTACAATAAAACAAGACCAAATCAACTCTCAATATCCCTCTCTCTCTCTTGTTCTGTTTTGCATACATTATGTATGTACACACATATGTATGTACGTATTTACATAGTATGTATTATTCAGCTTCATCTTTTTTGTGGCCTGGTCTATAAATATCACTAATACTAAGTAATGTAGCGTTCGGTCGTGCGCGTGGTACGGAACGGCAAAGGCATAGGCATAATTATGCTCGCTCCGACTGTCTCTCTCTCGTCGAGACCTCTGCTCTCTTCAATAATTAATAACGTTTATCTGAGGCAAAGGCTTTCTTGCGTACACACACATCACATGCGGTTACGGTTCGACCCAATTTCGGGTTTTAACGAAACTTTCGGATGGACGGACACCACCACCGCCACCACCACAGATAAAAAGAGCCACCAAGCCACGCGACATGTCAAGGTCAGGAGGCGGCCAGGCGAACGTCAATCCGTGTAACATTTAACGGATAATAGATATGTGTGTGTATGTGTGTTTGATTATTTATTGCATGTGGCCTGATGCTGTGTGCTGTAAGTGTGAAGCATACTTTTCTGCGCTCGCACCTGCAGCTCCTGCAGCGCACGTGTGCTTTTTTTTTGCATGTGCTAGTATGTTTGTAGGGCTGTGTGCTTACACCATAAAAATAGGCAACACACACACACACACATCAAACGGACCCATTTAATTATACATACTTATGTATGTACGTCCTGTGTGCCATGCTGATGTCTAAATAAAAGAGCTCCCAAAGCACATTAAAAATAGCAAACAAATGACGCACATCGAGTACATAATGTATGGGAATTTACATAAATATGTACACAATGAAACGGTAGTCCATTTATGATTTATAGCATTGCCGGAGGATAATAATAACAATAACCGTAATAACCGGTACGTAATGCCTCAAAAGGTGATTGAACTTTACCGTTGCCATCGTCGTTACCGTTGCTTCTTCTATGTACTTCTTCTTCTTGCTCTTATTCTTGTTATTGCACGCTGTCCCGTTCCCTCATGTATGCCCAATATGCTCTGCTCTCTTTGTGGACTGATTTTCTCTCTCTTACTCTGTCTGTCTCTCGCTGGCTGGCTAGGCACTTGATTGACACAGTGCCTACCATGTGTATATTGACCCCACCAGCAATTCGATTGTTTTAAGTAATATGCGTCACAATATTAATCAAAGTGACTTTGTCCCTGTCGGGGATTGCGTGTTAGGGTGTGTGTATGTGTTGGCGTTAGTGCTTTTACTAGTGTATGTGAGTTAGCCAGCTAATAATGAAGCTAAAATACATTAGCCAAGGCAGGGAGGGTTTTCCTTCCTACCCGCTCAAGCTGTCTTGTCCATCAACCTCTAATACAGGAGGAGCAGCAGGCATCCATTAAATTCACACACAAACGCACACATGCAACGAAACGCTAATTTAAATTCCCGTATGACAATCACTTGGAACTTTGTTCAGAGTGAGAACAACAAATAAACTTATTCGGGTGGAATTCATCACGCTGATGTAATTACATTCTCTCCTTGGAAAAAATATCTATTCATTAAGCGTAAATACTTGTCCAATCTCTTAACTTGTCAAGTTATCAGCATCTCAATGAAATGTTATCTGAAAAATTGTACGTAATGGTCTTGTGGTCCATTCGGTTAATACCGTAAAGCAAGTGTCATACAGTCATTGGCCAAACAAACGAGGACTGAGAATAACTGTTCGTTTGCTTCGCGAGAGAGACGACCACCGACAAAGAGAGCGCAAACAAGCAGCAGAGGCAGCAGCAGAAGCAGCAGCAGCAGCTAGAGCTTCAGTCATTTTATTTCGGTGAGGGGGTGAGGGTGTGAGCTTTAAGCATTGAGCATTGAACATTTGCGGAGCGTGTGTGAAGGAGCGGTGTCTGCGACGTGTGATTGCACCTGTGCATGTAACAAGTAAAGGTGCCATTAAATGTGCTTGCGACATGTTGAACTTTCTGCCAAAAAGTGAACAAGACATTTTAAACTTTCCACCCAAAGGAATGCGCAATTTTGAGTTTTCATCTGCTGTATGAAAATGAGTGAAATATATTATTTAGAGCAGCCAAAACAAGCACACAAAAAACACACACGCACACTAACTGACCAACATAAATACGTAAAATCTGAGCAAAATGAAAATAATAAACTATAAGAACAGCCAAGCAAAACGAAACGCAAATAAAATTAAAGAAAAACCAAAGCAAAGCAAATACAAATAAAAGCCAAAAAGCACAACAATAGCAGCCGCAGTGAAACGATCTCGCCGCGGACAAACAACAACATTTTTTTGTTCGGGACCACCGAGAATTTCGACATCGACGCGACATTTTCTCAAAAATATGAGTGTGTTCCGCGGTGCCCAAATCCCAACCCCGACCCCAAACCCCGAATCTCTGCTTCTCCTCTGTCTAAATAAATACAAAATACAGTTTTCGCTGTCGCGACCAGCGTCGTCGTCGTTGTCGTCGAGACAAATGCAATCGGAAGCGCATTAAATTGCATTTGTGTTTGTGTCCCACTGCCACAGCCAGTGTGTGTGTGTGTGTGTCAGAAACTGCAATTTTTTTGTGTATTTTTTGTATGATTATACAATCGCCGGTGTAATCATTAAACCTCACAGAAAACAACTGGAAAACTCATTGAAATTTTGTCGATTGAAAAACAATCACAAAATTAAAAGTAACCTGTTTAGATTTCAAGCACAATAACAAAATCATTTCTAGGAAAACCTTTCTAGGAGTCATCTTCGCGTAACTCTAAATAACCATTGACTGGTGCCGACTGAATTCCCGAGAATTGTCCACAGATTCTCAGTAAAAAATAATTGTGATAACCAAAGACCATTTTGGGTGTTGTTTTCCATGAATAAGGAAGTCTGATAGACTCCCAGTA